AAATTTTGATACAGGCATTCTATGTGTAATAATCACATCAAGGTGAATGGAATACCTATCACCTCAAGCATTTATCCTTTGTGCTACAAAAAATCCAATCATCCTTTTTCAGTTGTTTTTAAATGTATGATTAAATCATTATTGACTACAGTCATGCTGTTGTGCTGTCAAATACTAGGTTTTGTTCATTCTTTCCAACTATTTTTTTTTTTTACCCATTAACCATCACCACTCCCTGCCACCTCCACCACTACTCTTCACAGCCTCTAGTAGCCATCCTTCTACTCTCTATCTCCATGAATTCAATGATTTTAATTTTTACCTCCCAAAAATAAGTGAGAATATGCAAAGTTTGTCTTTCTGTGTCTGGCTTATTTCACTTAACATAATGACCTCAGGTTCCATCCATGTTGTTGCAAATAACAGGATCTCATTCTTTTTTATGGTTGAATAATGCTCCAATGTGTGCATGTACCACGTTTTCTTTATCTATTCATCTGTCTATGGACACTTAGGTTGCTTCCAAATCCTGGCTATTGTGAATTGTGTTGCAATAAATATGGGAGTGCAGATATCTCTTTGATATACTGATTTGCTTTCTTTTGGGTTTATACTCAGCAGTGAGATTGCTGGATCATATGGCAGCTTTATTTACAGTTTTTTTGAGGAACCTCCAAACTGTTCTCCATAGTGGTTGTACTAATTTACATTCCCACCAACAATGTGTGAGTGTTCCCTTTTCTCCATATCCTCGCCAGCATTTGTTATTGCCTGTGTTTTGGATATAAGCCACTTTAACTGGGGTGAGATGATATCTCATTGTAGTTTTGATTTGCATTTCTCTAATGATCATGATTTTGAGCACCTTTTCATATGCCTATTTGCCATTTGCATGTCTTCTTTTGAGAAATGTCTATTCAGATCTTTTGTCTATTTTTAAATTGGGTTATTAGATTTTTTTTCCTATAAAGTTGTCTGAGTGCCTTACATTTCCTGGTTATGAATTCCTTGTCAGTTGGGTAGTTTGCAAATATTTCTATGGGTTTTCTCTTCATTTTGTTGATTGTTTTCTTTGCTGTGCAGAAGCTTTTTAACTTGATGTGATCTACAAAATACTTTAAAAATCAGCCAGAGAATTCTAAATTTGAGGATGGCAAAAAGAAACAAGTGTCTGTTCCTAAGTAGGTCAAGGATATATTGAAAATGACATTTCAAAGTCTTCTTTAGCCGCAACTTTCACAATTATTTCATATGGATTCTGCATAAAGTAAAATTCATCTTGCTATTTGTGCTTTTTCATATTAAAATGTAGGGTGTTTTGTTAACTAGCTACTTGACTATTTTATAACACACTTAAGAAGCCTAAATATAATCAGATAAACTCAACATCAGTAGGACAACTGATGTTAAACCTTAACTTGGAGCTTTAAACTCTTTCCCAAATGGTTTGTCCTTTAGATTTTCACTGCATCTGAGCGCTGTGAGCTAGTTATTTTTCAGAAAACACCAATAACAGTAATAACAGCTAATATGGCAAAAATAAAAAATTCTGATGTCTTAACTATAGACTCTTAACAGTTTTATTTCAGATTCCCAATACAGTGTTTATATAATGCTCATGTACCATTGAGAAGGGGTGCTGGAAGTGAGTGTGCAGCCTCAGTGTACCAGGACAGCAGGTCAAGCACAGAACTGAAGCCTTGGGCTCTGTCCTATCTCTAGGTCTAGTCTATTGTTTCTTAGTCATTTCCCCATTGTAAGTTTACCTAAAAAGAGGGGATTAAGCTGAATAAACTAAAAGAAAACCACAATATTTTTCAGCTCAAATTTTATAAAACTACATTTGTTCATGTTTTGGGAGTTCCAGCATGAGCCTAGCTTGACATTGTAGGGCATAACAGGGCCTATTTGTCAAGTGGGTAGGAAAAGTCTAATTGCATAATTCTCCCAAGAATTCTCTTGGGAGAATAACCCACTAAAAGAGTTGAGCTCACACCCTTGGGTCAACCACAGTGCTCTAGCACTGGAAAAAGAGGACAACATTGAGTTATATTGTTTACTGCTCAGAGCTTCTTCTGGCCCAGTCCCTGGGATTAGTAGTTATATTCTAGGAACATTTCAGGGACATTGGAGTACAAATTACTCATAAGACCACTTAAATTAATTAAGTAGTTTCACCTATGAGGAATCAAAATACCTGACTCAAGCTTGTGTATGCAATAAGAACATTTGTCTGCATCACTGGATTTCAAAGGTAGGGCAGCATTAGTTTCATCCTAAGGCTGGTCCTCCTTGTGCTCACAATATGGCTGCCAGTGGCCATGGGGGATATATACTTCCTGGTTTACAATGTAACATGAAATATGAGTCTTTCTTTTTATTCTGCTTATTTCATCTCGGATTATGGTGCCCATCCCTGTACTAATCTCAGAGGGTGGAAGACTGCCATTGGCTTCAACTAATTAGGTTCTATCCCCAGTGATCTAGATATGGTCAGTTTCCTCTGAGGTATTTGGAAAATAGGTAGTTTTCTGATAATTACTTTGGTTCTCTAAAGTACTAATGAATATTTTGCAGAAAGTGAACACCTTCCATGACTCTGACTGGTGTCTGGGCTGGTAGGAAAAGAGAGCATCTGCTGGCTGATGAAATAAACTCACCTTGAGGACATCAGAGCAGGAGGTTGTTGACAAGCACGGGTGTCTATAACAGTCTTGGAAGAGCTGAAAGTGTTACTGGCGGTGAATCTGTATAGGTCTGCAGCAACCACAGTTCTTGCCTTCTCAGAAGAAAGAATTTGGCTCAGGGACATAAGGCAGAGTGAGAGACTGAGGCAAGTTTTAGAGCAGTGGTGAAAGTTTATTAAAAAGCTTTAGAACAGGAATGAAAGGGAGTAAAGCACACTTGGAAGAGGGCCAAGCAGGCAACTTGAGAGATCAAGTGCACAGTTTGACCTTTCGACTTAGAGGTTTATGTGCTGACATACTTCCAGGGTCTTGGGTCCCTTCTCCCCTGATTCTTCCCTTGGGGTGGGCTGACCACATGTGTGCTAGTGCTTGGGAGGGGTCGCATGCGCAGCGTGTTTACTGGAGTTGTACGCATGCTTACTTAAAGCGCTCTTCTCTTACCAGTTGATTGCTCCTAGAAGGTCATATACCAGTCAAACGCTGCCATTTTGCCTCTTAATGCGCATGCTTGAACCCACTGGCCCAACTCCTGAGATCTTATCTGGAAGCTGCTGATGACCAGTTTCAGGTGTTTTTTATCTATTGAGAGGCTGTCTTTCCCTGGCACCTGGGTTTCTCGTTCACTGCTATTGACTTGGGCTGAAATTACATGTTCCATGCAGCTGGAAAGAAGTTGCCTAAGAAAAGCTATCAAACACATGTGAGGATTGGAGACTATAGCAAATGTACAAGTGATGAACCTGCTGGCTGGGATATGAGATGAATGAAAATTCAAGAAATATATTTGGACAGACCTCTAGAGATTTGGCAAAAATAAAGAACAGCAGACACGTAAAAAAGTGTTTTTCCTTGATTTGTGGTATAATTATTCTTCAAACCATGAATCTAACCCATTTCTTGATAGGTGGGTTTGAACTGCGGAAATTCTGGTTCAACTTTTACCTCTTCTGATGGCATCATTTTAATGTTAATGCATGTTGATATATGTCTCCTTTCTTTAGCAATAGGACTTCCTTGAGCTGATTAGAGTAGCTGTGCCATCAGCAAAAACCCTACCTTAATGCACTACTTTAAAACCTTAATAACCTTAATGCATCTACTTTGCATGTAAACAGAGAGCATGGCTGTGGCCTAACTGAATTTCTATGCCTGTAAGTGTGGTTTCCTGAAAAAGAAAATGAAACCCTGTCTCCTTGTCTTTACAGCATGCATGCATGCTTTTTTTTTTTTTTTTTTTTTTTTTTTTAAATCTGTGCGTCTGAGTCACACTGAACAACGCTCTTTCTACTCCAAAGGGGGAAAATAAGTTAAATTTATGTTTCATGCCTGTAAGGCATTTTAAAGTTAATCGGGCCCTTTGGGCCTAATTTAATTTGTGTAAGATTGCTGTTGATGATTAGAATAGCTATTTAAGATTTTTGTTAACAGTCTGTTACGTGGACTTAATGGAAGCACTCCAAAAGCAGTCTGTTCACTTTCCCCTGTCAAATTCAGGTTACAGAGCCTTCGCAGATGTGAGTAGACATCAATACGAAAAGGGGATAGAACACAAATTAAAATCAGAAGTGTACTCAAACTGCCAGTGTTGAGCTTTGGTTAAAAACATCTGTCACATAAAAGCAAACACTCAAAGCCGTTATGTCTTGTAACAGTTGTCTTTATTTTTCATATCTTTGGCATTTTCATCATTTTATGTTAGTGCTGTCTTTGGAATTTTTCATACAAGTGATTGCTTTTTTAACATCACTGATTTCTCTACACAAACATTTGTAAGGCTTTTGTCCCAACACTACAAAGAGAGAATGCCCAAGCAGAGCTGGAATTCTAATGGTCTCATAGAATCTGAAAAATCGGCTGACCAGGGCAGAGCACTTTAGTGAAGTGAATGCATTTGACTCATCCTGGCCAATATTAGATCAAACTCTCCCCTTGATTCCTGCTACAAGGTTATTTTTCGTCGTTTCAAAATTTACAGCTACCATTCTTATTTTACAGATGGCCGTGATCATAAGAAGCCCAGGTCTCCCTTCGGTACAATCAAGGAGATTTCAGGATGCTCTTGAGTCACTCTCCTGATATTTGTTATAAATCATATATATTTTTTTCAGAGTTAAGACTTTATTTCTCTCATTACTTTGTTTCATAACTTTTACAGTTTCATTCCTTTATTCTGTTTTCATTTTCTGTTTTCCAGGCATTGTATTTCAAAACCATGGCCCTTCTATTTCCTCTTTCTTATTGTTTTTCTATTCCATGTCCGCTTCTGCCTTCCTTAATTTTCTTTCCCCTCCTTTACTCTCATTTCTTTTGCAGAGTGAGTGATTTCTGTGAAAGCTTGGCAAATGTCTCATGAGCTCCCGCTAAGGATGCAACTACCAAAGGCAAGATCAAGAGACAAATGAGCACCACCTCCCCCAGCGCCATGTTCCCCTGCCCGGGAAACACCACCTGCTTCCTATGTGGCTGGAGGGGTGGGGGCTCTGCACAGCAGCGAAGATGCTAGAGATTACAGGCAGATATTTTGCAAATAATCTTTTTTAAAGTTATTGATTCATATGAGTGAAATATAAGATTTATGTTAATCCTATTCCTTAAATCAGAAATCTCTAATGTTATACTGTTTTATGCAGTAGGTAATTTACATTAAGAAAAAGGATTAAAAAAAACTAATACGAAAGTTTGTGGATCATCCTATCCCAACCCACTTTCTTTCTGGTCACCCCTGACTGGTCACCTCAACCTTCTGCTTTCTTATGCTGCCATTTGCGACAGGCATGACATTATATCAGCTCTCTCTTTCTCTTTGTTCAGAACAAAATCCCTTTTATAGTAAAGTGGAGAAAATTCTCGATGCCATGAATGCTGAGTGAGACTCAAATACAAAGGCCCTGCAATCACATTTCCCCCATAATTAATTATGTAATTATAAAGCTTTGTCAAGCCATTGTATTCCCCCTCAAATATATTTTAAATAATTTTAAAGCTTTTGTTTCTATACCCCTGACAATAATGATAAAACACCCTTACCTCTCCTATTTCTACATGTCTATCACCTTTTTAATAATACTCTTGATAAAAACATGAGATCACTGATATTAAAGTAGAAAGGTCTTGCAGCTTTTTTCCTATTTACTTTGATTTGTGGAACTCTAATTTGATTGTGGGCATCCTTTATACAGCTTGTTCCACCCTCTCCTGTGGAGCTGTACCAGCTGTGACTCCTGTTTTAAGAACTATGTTCTCTTCTCTGTTGCAGACCTATGTTATATTTGCCTTAGTGCATGGGCTGCTGGTCCATGCTAATAGCTGGCTCTCAGGGGAAAAAGAAAAGCCATCTGTGGCATCTGCCGATTTCTGTGGTGTAAATACTCTCAGCTCTGCCAATTTCAAGCCATCAATTTGACATTGCTGAACCCAAAGTTGGCAAGGGGTGTGCACCATTGGCTTTTGTGAGCAAGTAAGAGTTGTCTTGGGGATTATTAAGCTACTCAAGAAGCATTTGCCTACTGGCACCCACTGCTTTTTTAATGTACTCTGGGAGGAGAGGGTATATAAAATAGTGCTCTTGGCTTAAGGGGTTTACATTCTAGCCAGTGAGAAAGAGTCCAAAGCAATGACCAGAGAAAGCAGAGTGCAACAGTGATCCACAAACTCCACTGACCCTTCAGAGCAAAGCCCTCAAGAAAGGCACTTTAGCAAAGAAAGTGTGTTTAAAGGATGCAGAGGGTTTCATTACATGGAGGAAAAGGGGAAAGGCATTCCAGGCAAGGGAAGGCTGGAAGGTTGGAATAGACATGGAGTGTTCTTAGAAGAGACAAAACAGAGTCTCAGTCACTGAGACTGCCTCATGATCCAAACAGGAGGTTTTTGGTACTATGACAGAATATTCACTTCCCTGTTTACCAGGTACTTTTACACACATATTTCTTTTGATCCTTCCTATAACTGTAGGACATTGGTAGAATATAATAGGTGTTATTATTATTATATTCACTTAGCAAAAATGTATACTTAGAAAAGTAAGAAAACTAAGGGAAGTTAAGGGCCCTTGTGGACCCTTTCAAGCCAGGCCCAGAATGCTGTCTCCTGAGCATTGCACCCCAGTCTTATCACAGCCCAGTCTGCTCTGAGGACCCTCATTAGGCAGTCCTTCCATACAGTAGCCTCTCAAACTGCAAAGACCTTTCATTGCATGAGCAAGATCCATTTTTCCTTACAACAAAACTGAAGAACTGCCTCAATGGCTTTACAAAGAAAAGCAAAGTCTATTTCTCTTCTAATGCCTGTCCTGAAAAGGGCTTTGGGGGCATGGTGCAGTGGAAAAGTCACTGAGCTGGGTATCAGAAGAGCTAGATTAAGGTTTGGGATCTGATTCAGGTTTGGGATGTACTGGAGAGCTCTGTGATATTGGGCAGATGGCTTAACATTTCTGGGATTCCATATGTCATACAGGAACTGATGAGTTTACTTGCATGGCCTCAAATGTTCCTTTTATCCCTGAAAAGCTGCACTTCTAGATATACTAAAATGCCAATCAAGAACTATATCATTACATGGGCCTCCAGAGAAGCCGGGGAGCCTAGAGGAGTTGAGTGTGTTGAAGGTTGAAGCACAACTACCTTACAAAATCATTTAATTGAAGTTGTTGGATATTAGTTCCTCAAGACGGCCTTTTTTTTTTGGCCTGGGCTAGAATGCAGTGACATGAACATGACTCATTGCAGCCTCAACCTCCCAGTTCAAGCAATCTTTCCATCTCAGCCTCCTGAGTAGCTGGGACTACAGGCAGGTGCAACCACACCTTCTCTTTAAATTTTTCAATCTTTTCTTTAAATTTTTTGTAGAGAGGGGGTCTCTCTATGTTGCCCAGGCTCAAGATGGCCTTCTAATGGAGCCAATATCTATATATTCATTCAACATATTGCAAATAAACTTTGGAAATAAACCAGTTATGTGAAATAGAGAAATAAATAAATTATTAAATGAATGGCCTTACTTTATTCTTTCTCCTCTGCAGGCTTCTGCAAAAGACTTGAGACAACTCACGATGAAGTGCTCTGTATCAGTCAGGGTGATATTGATTGCAAGTGACAGAAACCCAATCAGAAACTCACTGGAGTCATGAGGAACACTTATGGGCTCAGATAACCTAACCATTGGATGGGCAGGGATGTATCTGGTTTGGAAGCAAATAGTACCAGGTGCTGAAAGTAGCTGTCTCAGACTCTGGTCTGTCTGTCTGTCTGTGTCACATTCTTTCACACCTTGGAGGTTGTGGCCATCTGGCTTATCACTGGTCAGGAAGATGCCTCCTTCAATAGTTCTTTGATTTCAATTTGAAATAATGCTAGTCAAAGACTCTGGTCTTCGGCAAACACCATGGCAATGGTCTGAGAGTGGCAGAAAGCAGAGGTTGACTGCATTAATAAAATGACAAGGTTGGGTTGGGACAGGTGGGGAGAAGGGTTTATCTAAAAGAAGGTGCTGCTGCTACCAGAAGAGGGAGTGTTTGGGCTGGGGGGACAAAATAAAAGATGTCCACAACAGATATATAAATAGAATCATTAGATAAAGCGGGATGGGATGGAAATGAGCAGGGTTTGTTGTGTAAGAAAACCTAAATTAATTATGGTAGCTTCAGTTTAGCTCTCACCTATGTGAAAGTCAAGGTAACACAGAGAAACCTATCATTTATAAACAAAAGGAAGCAAACATTCGCCTATGTGTAAACTGTACTATGATACTAAAATAGGTTTACAGGAGTCGTTCAGTGGACAACATCTTCCATAGTGATTTTCAAAAACGATGCAAACAATTTTTATTCTGTCATATCTTATGTCAAAAAATTATATTTAGAGCATAATATTAGCTCATATTTCTTTTAAGTCTTCATGGTGTATTTAGGATGATAAATAAGGTATATCTGGGGAGATAAATTCAGGTATATAGCTTTCAGATGACCAAATCTATTAGCACATCCAATTAATGGACTATTCATGATACCACATTTTTATCAATGTGTAAAGGTTATGTTTGCTCTCATTTTGAACCTTTTGTTCGTGTAGAAGACTGGAATGATCATATTATGTGACACTGTGTTGAAGAGAGTCACTGAGAAAGAGGTAACGTCAAGTTACAGGGAAAGTAAGAAAGGCTGGAACACACTGGGACTCTGCCGTAAACATAAAAGACAGGCATTCAGAACAGTAAAGAATTGTACTCAAATTGCTCGAGTACAAACTGTGTGACACTGTGGAACTGTGTTAGGGAAACCAAATAGTGTATTCATTGGCAATGTCTTTTATGGATACCAGGAGATATTGTTAGTCAGCTATAGTGCAATTATTGTTGATTTGTTTGGTGTATTCTTAATTCATTGAATCTTTTGAATTGTGCTACTCCAAGTTCTAGTAAATACTAGAATGTATTTACTACTCAAGTATTCCAGTAAATACTAGAAAGTATCCAGCATATTCCAAAAGACCGAAAGTTGTTGACTTAGGAGACAATGAAAATTGTTACCTTAGTTGAACGAATTTCAAACTGTATGTGCTGTATCTCTGGGGGCAGAGGGAAGAAGAGTGACTCCATCACAGTCAGGTAGTTCCAAATGTATCTGTTGTGCATATTTGACTTGCACATAATTGACTTTTAAAAGAAATTGTCTTTAACCCAAAACAAAACACCTTGAAAATCAGTCTTAGACTGTCACTTTTATTTTTCTAATATCTCTTAGTATTCCTGGACTTTCAAAATTGTTCTATCAAGGAAATTCTCAAACATCCAAAAGTAAAAAGACAGTATAATAAACCCCATTTACACAATATTCAAATTCAACAATTTTTAACATTGTGTTTTTCTTGGTTTTAAAAAATATTTCACATAACTGATCCAAAGGTATTTTCTTACACATAATGTCACCATAGAATGTTAGACTTTTTTATTTAAAAAAAAAAACTGATTATAAATATTTGCACATTTATAAGAGGAGTTTTCAGGAATTTGACAGGGCACACCTAGAACCACCAGGGTAGTGCTCAGGACCCACCAGGTACACCAAGGACCCACCAAACACAGGTCCAGCCCCAGTTGTCCATCTTGCTTTATCTATTATTCACTGTTTTTGATATCATATTGTTTTTATCCATAATTATGTCAGTAGTAGATAAATCTAACAGATGAGGATTTTTAAAAGCCACAAATCCACCATTCCATTATCACACCTGACAAAATTAACATTAATTCTATTATTTCACCTATTATGCAGTCCATGTTCAAATGTCCCCGATTTTCTCAAATATAAATATTTTACAGTCCTGTTGAAATCACAGAATAAAGACCACAAATTGCATTTGGCTGAAATGTCTGTTAGGTATTTTCTAATCTATGAGAGTTCCCACTTCCCCACTTTTAGTCATTTTTTTGTTTGTTGAAGATATTGATTCATTTGTCCTGTAGAACTTCCGGCATGCCAGATTTTGCTGATCGCATTAGATTAACCAACCTATTAATCTAATAACTTGTTCCTTTGTATTTTTCATAAGCTTGCTGCCTGAGTGTGAAGCTTGCTTAGATTCAGATGCATTTATTTTGGCAAATACTCCGTAGGTAGTATCGTGTGCTTCCGATTGCATTCCATCAGGCGGCACATGAGGTCTTGTGGTCCCATTTTTAGAACTGTTAACATTGATCAAGGGTTAAGTGTTGTCATCTAATCTACCCTTTCACTAGTGTTTTCCTGAGCCTCTGACAGATGTTTCATTGAAAATGAGGTCTGGCGTGCCCATCCAGTGGAAGCATTTTGAATTTTTTATTGATTCTTAAATGTCCTTTCTCATGGAAGCCTTCATGCCATCCAATTAAAATGGCAACTCCTTCCTCTCTATTAACCTTCTCTGCTTTTTTCCTTCCTCCATGGAATGTATTAGTATTTTACTCTTTTATAAACACATTACTTATTTCCCCCAACCATTGTATAAGCTCCATGAAGACAAGGATTCTTGTTTTTTTAATTAGTAGACTTTATTTTTTAGATCAGTTTTAGTTTTAGAGAAAAATTGAGTAGAAGTACATAGAGTTTCCTTATATGCCCTTTCCCATCTCACCCTAACCCCCCTAAATTTCCCTTATTATTAATATCTTGCATTAGTGTGGTACCTTTGCTACAATTGATGAACCAATCTTTATGCATCATTAACTTAAGTTTACTCTTTGTTTCGTACAGTCTTATGGGTTTTGACAAATGTATAATGTCATGTATCCATATTATAGGATCATATAGATGATCCTAAAAAATCCCCTATGCTCCACCTATTCATCCCTCCTCCCTCCATCCCTGAACCACTAGCAACTTCTGATCTTTTCGCTGTCTCTATAGTTTTGCCTTTTCTAGAATGTCTTACAGTTGCAATCATACAGCATGTTGTTTTTTCAGACAGGCTTCTTTCATTTAGCAATATGCCTTTAAGTTTCCTCCACATCTTTTTGTGGCTTGACAGCTAATTTCTTTTTATTACCACATAATATTGTATTGTCTGGATATACCACAGTTTAGTTATTCATTCACCTACTGAAGTCATCTTTGTTGCCTCTAAGTTTTGATAATGACGAATAAAGCTGCTATAAACATTTGTGTGCAGGGTTTTTTGTGGACACACATTTTCAACTCGTTTGGATAGATACCAAAGACTGTAATTGCTGGATTGTATGGTAAGACTACGCTTAGCTTGTGAGAAACTGCTAGACTGTTTTCCAAAGTTGCTGTACCATTTTGCACTCCTACCAGCAATGAATAAGAGTTCCTGCTGCTCCACATCCTCGCCACCTTTAGTGAAGTTTCTGTTTTGATCTTTTGCCCATTTTTAAGTTGTGTCGTTTGCTTTCTTAATGCTGTTTTAAGAGTTCTCTGCATATTTTTGATGTAAGTCCTTTATCAGATGTGTTTTGTAAATATTTTCTTCCACTCTGTGACTTGTCTTTTCATTCTTTTAACAGGGACAGTAGAATTTTTTAAAAATCTGCTTTGTTTTCTGTCTTATCTCGAGTGCCTAGAACAGTGCCTAGTTTATAATAGCTGGTCAGTCTAGTGAGTGCTTGCTGAAAGTGGTCTATATGCCTTAGATACAGCTAAGAACAAAGTTGACACTTGATTGTAAAAACAAAAAGAGCTGATCCAATTGGAGGACTATTCCCCTCTTCACAGAATTAAAGCTTTCATTGACCAACAGTTCTGATTTTATCAAAACATTCATACAATTGAAAGTCTTTCTTTCAAATCGGAGGTAGTCTTAAAATAATCTAATTTGTTTTACAGTTAAGACCCTGAGCCCTATTCACAGAGCGTCAATCTCTGCTCTCCCAATGACCACTTGAGGCTTAACAGAATGACTCTCAAGTTCTTATTTCTCTGAGACATATTCTCTAGCATTTTCTTTTAGGGTTAAATAATGAAGTATTCAGACATAGAAAAGTATAAAAATATCACACATTCCTATTTTCACCATATGGTAATATTGAACTGGTTTTTACCTTTTGTCATGTTTGTTTTAACTCTCTCTCATTCTCTCTCTCCTCCTCCCGTCTTTCTTGGAATAAATATTAAAGGAATGGCTGAAGCCTCAAATACCTCATCCCTACCTCTGTCTCTACCTTCATTTTCCCTCATTAGTACCCATATAGTGAAATTGATATATAATTCCCATACAAGTGTTTGCAATTTTTTATGTATTTATATAGACGTAACTAGCATATTGCTTTTTGTGTGTTTATAAAATGACATAAATACTATATTAATACTAATCGGATCATTCTGGGTGGTAGACACTGTGGTGTGGCCCACCGGATCTTCAGGACAAGGTACTTGCTCCCTCATTTGGAGATGTAAGCTTAGAATAGCTTCCAATTGAATCTCTTTTTTTGAACCGAGAATTCCCTTTGACCATAAGCCTTGCCCAAAGTCACACACCATCCCTGTGAGCATCCACTGACCGTTGGCTGGGAGAGGAGATAGGACATTTATGACACCGGAGTAAGGGAGTATTTACTAAATAAGATTTTAAAATATAAATCACAAAAAGAAAATGAACTTGAATATCTTAAAATTTTAAAAATACCTCTGCACAATAAATGAAATCATATAGTGAAAAAGCAAGATACAAACTAGTATATTTGCACAGCAAATACAATTATTAGTACATAAACAATTCCTATTCCTTCTTCAATAGGAAGATCTGGCCTTCCTGCCTCAACTCAGGGCTACTCTACAGGGAGATCCCAGCTCCAGAGCTCCCCATGGGCTTGACTGAAGCCTCTGCTGCAATTGCATTGTGGTTCAACTTCTCCCTCTGCCAATCTCACTTTCCTCACTCCTTGCAGGGTTTTGTTTTGTTGTTGTTCTTGTTGTTTTGTTTTGTTGTTGTTGTTGAGACAAGGTCTTTCTCTGTCAACTAGGCTGGAGTGTACTGGTGCAATCTCAACCTCCACCTCTCAGGCTCAAGCAATCCTTCCACCTCAACTTCCCAAGTAGCTAGGACCACAGGCATTTGCCACCATGCCCATGGAGTGGACGGGAGTCGTACACTGAAAGCTGGTGCCAGGGTAGGAGAACTGAGAAATACCCTCCCCAGGTACTCCAGGTCTTCCCAAAGTACAAGAAAGTAGCCCACTGAGCACAGGAATTAGGCAGGAGAAGTGAGAATGATTCTCCAAGGCATATGAAGTTCATCCGTTGCAAGGCAGTCCCCATTACACACTGGGGGTAAGGCAGGAAAGCTGAAAGAAATCCCCTCCTAAAAACCACGGGGCTTTCACCAAATGCAAGGCAGCAGCCTGCAGTAGCCAGAGGCAAAGCAGGAGAACTGAGAGAAATAGATGCTCCCCAAAACCTTTTCAACTCTCCAATCCCCTCAACCCTATCCACCCACCTCACCCCAACTCACACCCCACTACACAAGGTCTTTACTGAGTACATTGTAGCCACCTATTGAATGCTGGAGGAAGAGCTATCTCAAGGCTCTGAGATGCGAAGGCAGAGTTTAGGCAAAGAAAAGGCCCCAGCAACCCAAGAAGTTGGTGGCTGGGCTGTAAGGCATAAAGAGAACTCCCACAGTTTGGAAAGTTGGGAGCTGGGCTATGTGAAGCTTGGAGAAATTCCCAGAGTCTTACTGTCTCTAGGATTCCAAGATACACTGAGAGAAAAGTACTCATCCTACTTTTCAGATATTAAAACCAGTCAGGAACTGAATTCCAACAAGCTGCGACAAAGCTCAGACCCAGCCCAACCACACAGAGATCAGATGGACCCTGTCTCCAATCACAGGGGACTGACAGAGCCAGGGTTTTGCCATTTTATAGCCATCAGTATTATTTGCCTCAGTCACTATTGTTGTTTCTACATGAAATGGTCAGCATACAACAAAAACTGTGTATATGTATCAGCAGTGTTTGATTGTTTTAACTATGTTTAT